ATATTACATCTCAGTAGGCATACATAAATATATACTGGTACCCAGTCCCTTGTCTGCAATACCATTAGGTCCAATCCTGCACACTACACATTTTCTGGGTGACTCAGCCAGTAATATTGCCCTCTACTGGGTTGAGCCTATTTCTAGCTTTTACACTATTTATCTCATGGAATGTGAACACTCATATTTCCACGTCAAAACATTAATACATTTGACTGTCATTATTGGCAAGTAATATTCCATATGTGCTCTGTGTTCTCTTTCTAAAAGATTGAAAATTCTCTTTAATTGTCTATATGAAAGTACTTATTGGAAAGTATTTTGACTGTTCTCAACACGAAGAAATGACGGATATTTGAGGCCATAAAATAAAATTTTTCTTGAAATATCACACTGTGCTTGACAAATACATATAATTGTTATGTGTTCATTAAAATAAATATTTGAAAATTATTTAAAAATAGTTAAAGATGATTAAAAGTTCTCAATTCCTAAACATATCTAGGACCCTCGTATTAAGGGGCTCTCTCTCTTTTGTTATCTATATCTATCTATTTATTTATCTACTATATACATCATATACAGTTGCATCTCAGTTCACAAACTCAATTCTCTGCAAGATTCTGGTTGCAAACTAAACTGGTTGAACTGAATTAAATTTCCCTGTGAGGTCAACATTGAACCTAACCCTTGTATTTGATTCAGTTCTCCTCCAACTTGGTTTTGTGATCAGAATCATGGAAAGAATTGACTTCATAAACCGATATACCCCTGTAGATGTAATGTCATATAAATAATTTGCAAAAGCAACACATATCCTTACGATGTTCAACATGTTCTAATATTGAGAATTCTATTTCCTTTTCAAAGTGCTGCTCTTAACCCAATCAATGAATTTCTGAACCCACTGATGGTGGAAACTCACATTTTGAAGACCTGGGTACATACTGTTTGGCACACAATGGGCACATGCTAGGTGAACCCATGCTTGGAAGTTTCCTGCTCCCCAGGCTGAGGGTCACTTTCTGAGATTTGTGCTGAAGGCACTTCCGTGGTGTGTTAGTCTCCTCAGGCTCCTTCGCAGGACACCACCAGTTGGTAGCTTCAAGAGAAGATGTCTATTTTCTTTCTTTCTTTTGGTACCGGGGATCGAACTTGGGTCCTTGTACTTGTGAGGCAGGTGGGAGAGCCACTGAGCTAAATCCCCAGCCCAAGATGTCTATTTTCTTACAGTTCTGGCAGCCAAAATCTGTGGTGAGGGTGGGCCAGGGTTGGTTTCTGGTCAGAGGGAATTTCCTGGTTTGTAGAAGGAGTCTTCTCACTGTGTATACACATGGCCTTTCTCTGTGCATGGGGAGAGAGAGAGAGAGAGAGAGGGAGAGAGAGAGAGAGAGAGGGAGAGAGAGAGAGAGAGATTCTTTTAAGGACACCAGACCTACAGATTAGGGCCCTACATTTATGAACTCATTTAATCTCAGTTATTCCACCTCCTTAAAGGCCTTATCTTCAAATTCAGGCCACTGGGGTTTAGAGTTTCACGTATGAATTTGGGCAACACAATATATTCCGTAACACTGGTTATGTGACTCCATCTCAAGTATCTGATAGGACAGTAGCTCCCAGGATGAATAGCCACCTGTCCCCAAAGCCATGTATACTCCACTGCACCGTCATCTGACTCTATTCTTTCTTTCCTCAACCAGATAGTGACAGTTTCGTAGAAGACGTCATTGAGTATATCATGGACACACTGAGCAGTGAGGACCTGCAGCAACTGCTGACTGAAGATGGCTCCTGGGAGATATTGGTGGAGACGACTGATTTGACCAGGTCACCTGCACGGGCCCCCAGCAGTGCCACCCAGAGCCCCACTGGACTGGGATTCCCGGGGGTGGACACAGCTCCTCCAGGCTGTTTCCTGTGGTTGGGGCTCAGGGTGCCCCTTCGGCACCGTCCCTGCGGGAAATTATCTCCATGTCATTCCCTGGCAGTGAATGGCCTCAGGGTGAAGGGACATGGCAGCAAGGGGGCAGGATCACTTCTGGCAACTGCTGGTTATGTGACCTTTGCTATCTCTACACCACTCTCGGCCTTACTGCCTTCATTCATTGAGTTTCATGGTAAGGAAAGTAAGATAACGTGTGGAACCTGCTTAGGTTATCACTTACACACAACAGGGGCTCAAGCAAAGGCCAGGAGGGACGAGAGCAGGGCCGAGGGTCCTCCTTGGAGACAGGTGCCAAGAAGGTCTTGCTTGAGAAAAGTCACAAAAGTGTAGACCTCACCAGTTGGGTTTCTGGGGGTCAAAGCATGGGGACACCATGGGCCCCGCAGAGGACACTGAGTCGGTGAGACACTCTTTCCTTTCCTCGTTGTGGTCCATCCGAGATAGACACAGTGGGCTGCGGTGGGGGGTGGCTGTTTCCTTCACACCTGTTGGTCACCCAGGAGTTCTCAGCCATCATGTGGGACCCTCTTCTGTTCACATGGAGTGGCCCTGACCCTGGGGAAGGCAGTGGCTTAGCGACAGCTTTCTTAGACAGAATGGTTGATGGCCTCTTTTGTGTAATTTACTTATTTATTTATTTTTTTGGTACCGGGGATCGAACTTGGGTCCTTGCGATTGCAGGGCAGGTGGCAGAACCACTGAGCTAAATCCCCGGCCCCTCTTTTGTGTAATTTAAGTCTGGGGACTCAAAGTCTGCAGCTCAGAGGGGACCTTCTCTGTTCCTGTGCAGGTTCAGGTTTCTCAGGGTCTAGGTTCAGAGATGGATCTGAAGGTCGCTGGATTCTTTGTGCACGGCCTTTGCATGAGCTCCTGGAAGGTGTCACTGGCTAAGGTGCCATTTAGGCTCATGACATCTGACAGTAAAGTCCTGATCTTGGGGTGCCAGGTGAGGAAAGATGTCGGCTGTGTAAGTAAACTGTAAGGAAGGTAGAGAGGATGGAGGCAGGGTAAATAGCCAGGTCTCCTCTTCTCAGTCAGTTCTTGGAGCAGCTGGATCCAATGACTTCAGGTCAAAGTGCAAATGGCATCAGACATTGGAATAGAGTTGGTGGGAGGCCAACTAATCTTTGTGATCTCCTTTGCCTCAGAGTTTACTTTTTATATCTCATTACTCAGAGTTAATCAAACTGCAAAATCTGAGGGCACAACCTCCAAGACTAACTTTAGTTTTGACACCAACCGCAAATCTGAAGACTCCCAAAACCCCATGCAGGTGTGACAATTCACTAGAGGGACTCAGAGAATTCACTAGATGTTTATTACACACAGTGTATCACAGGGAAAGGCACAGGGTAAAATCAGTCACAGAAAGGCTTACATAGGACATAATTTGGCAGGGTTTCAAGCATGAAGCTCCCATTTTCCTCAGGACACAGTGTGCTCCTGTATTTCACATGTGACAATTCACACAGGATGCCGATGTGCCAGGCTCACCCTGTGAAAGGACACATTATTTTGATGAATAGCCAAGCAAGCACCAGATGGACTGGAAAGCCAAGGTCAAAGTCTACTTGCAAAGAAATTCAGAGGGTCCTAACTCAAGTTTGGTCATGCCTTGTTGTCCAGGCTTCAGGGCTAACCTGGAGTTTCCATCTGCTCCTGGAGGCCAGTATTTTTAGTCTCCAGTTTCTGTGGAAGTCAGAAATGATCCCAAAGCCCCAACATGCATCACATTGTTAGGATGACCATGCATTATGGAAAACTCCTGGAATAAGGAATGTTTTCTATGATAGATGTTTTCTGATTTTGAAATATTTGCAGATATATAAAAAGATATCTTGGCATGTTAGCTACTTTTCTCCTGTCGCAGAGACAGTAGTTAAAGCGGGGAAAGGGTTTATCTCAGTTTGTAGAGGTTTCAGTCCATAATCAGCTGGCTCCAAGGCAGGGATGGCCAATGGGCATCACAGAGGAGAAACAACATCACCTAAGACAGCAAAAGTACGAAGGAACCTTCCAAGCGTTTTCTGCCCTTATTATCTTACTCAGACCACACAGATTGGTGGCACTCACACCCTTAATCTTAAGACCTTTAGGTTCAGCCCCACCTTGAATCAATCACACATTCTAGATTCAGCCACCTCCCAAAAAGCATGATGCTTTCGGGGGACATCTGAACACAAGTCATAACACCCGGGAATGTGACTCAAGACAAAACATGAAATTCATTTATGTTTCTTTACAACTTGTATGCATAGCATGAATGTAATTTCATACAATATTTTTAGCTTGCTTGTGCTTTGACTGTGACCTGTCACATGGGTCAGGCATGGAACTTTCTTGTGGCATCATGTCAGTGCTCAACAGTTTCAGATTTTGGTGCTTTTCAGATTTATGTTTTTGGATTAGGAATGCTCAGCCAGTTTAGTCTTGTGGCCAATGTCCTCATGCAAAGGTGGACTTTCCTAATAGGACATTCCAGGGGTCTATAGATCACAACCTAGTAGCTGAGGTCAAAGAGAAGGCTTCTCCTTGATTCAAGTTAATTCTTCACTATGCATTAATACACCCTGAACAAAGCCATTCCCTATCCCCCATTGTTCCACTTCTCTGTGTTCATCTACAGGCTTCCCCTTCTACATATACTTTGCTCATCATGGCATCGACCTTGAGTGAGATGATGCTTTATCAAATACCCACCACTAAAGAGCACCTGAAAATGATTTGCAGTCACTGACCTGCTATTAAATAACAATGTTTATATCTGAAAACATGTTTATATCTGAAAGAAATATTCTGTGCATCGCTGTAATTCTTTTTCATTTGACTGTAATGAATCTCCATCATTTATGCAGGGTAGATCTTATACGGCCTATTTTCCAAACAGACAAAGTGCTTTTTGAGAGAAATAAAATGAGCCAAAACTCAAACACCCAGGGTGAGACATTTATTAATGGATCGAGCTGCTGTGCTGTCTCGAACAATGGAGAGACCAGCAACCAGGGGCTGGGTGGGTGAGGTTGACAAGGACTGGGGGAGGGTGGTGGAGGCAGATGATTGGGTACAACTGGGGGCGAGGTGAGAAAAAGCAGGTGTTTGTTCTCTCTGCAGTGACCTGTTCCCTGTAGGCAGGGGCTATTTTAGGATGCAGGGTTGTTGGGATCATTTTATCTAGCAGAGAACTCTATCACCTTTCTTAATCACTTGACCTTTACTGTTACAGGGAGGAGGCAGATGCTGTACGTGAGACTCTGACTGAGCTGGAAGCACACAAAGAGAGGTTTTTGAATGCATTTCCTCATGTGAAAAAGGAGCTGGAGGAGGGCATAGCCAAGCTCTACGGGCTTGCAGATAAGGTTGACAAGGTGCACAAGGACTGCACCATCACCAATGTGGTGGCCAGCTCCACCGGTGCTGTCTCTGGGATCCTGACCATCCTTAGCCTGGCTCTGGCACCTGTGACAGCAGGTGGCAGTCTGGTGCTATTGGCCACTGGGATCGGGCTGGGAGCAGCAGCTTCTGTGACTGATGTTTCTTCTAGCATTGTGGACCACTTAAACAAGTTGTCAGCAAAAACTAAAGCCAAGGACCTGCTGTCAACCAGCATGGACACAGAGAAGGAGGTTTTCCAGGCTGTGGGTGAGGCCACACCCAAAGTTGCTTCTGCAGTCAAGAAGTGTGTGGAAGCCTGCCAAGCCATTGGGAAGAACATCTGTGCCATTAAGTCGGGCAAATGCAACCCTCGGTTACTAGCCAATGCCAACCTTCTCATGACAACTGGGAAAATCTCAGCCCGAAGTGGTAAGCAGGTGCAGAGAGCCCTTGGAGGGACTGTTCTGGCAATGTCCAAAGGAGCCCGGATCATGGGTGCAGTCACTGCAGGCATCTTCTTTCTGGTGGATGTGTACAACCTTGTGGAAGATTCAGTGCATTTGCACAAGGGGGCAAAGACAGAGTCAGCTGAAGAGCTGCGGCAGCAGGCTCAGGTTCTGGAGAGGAAGTTGGAGGAGCTCATCCGGATCCATGAGAGTTTGCAGTCTGACCTGACTAAGTGATACCCAGCCCAAGCAGTGCAGATCTCAGGGCCCTTGTGCTTTTCTTTTTTTTTTTCTTCTTTTTTTTCCCTTGTGCTTTTCAAACACATGGACAAAGGCAGGAAGTGTAGAGGGGAAAAAAGGAGGCGATCAAGTCTGCAATTGGGCAGGTGTTAAGGAATTTTGGATTTCTTTGGCTGAGCATCGCCAAGTGGGGTTTTACTGAAGATAAATGGATCACAGAGAAACCTCGGGAGAAAAGGAGAAGTGACTAAAGCATGTGGGAAATAGGAAAGAAGAGTTTATTTTGTCCTAAGAATTCACTGGAGACCTGGATAGAAGCAGCTGGAGGAAGAAGCAGTGGGAAGTTGGGGAAAACAGAAGAGCAGAAATTCAGAGCAGCCAGACTTGGAACTGGTTGGGTATGGGAGGGTAAAGCAAGCTCTGTTTCCCATCCTTCACACAGGCTGATGTCTCAGCAAGAGTGCAGTCTGTCCTCTTTCTTTCCAGGGTCAACAAACCCTTGTCTCTGTCAGGCAGTCACTTCCTGATGATGATGATGATGATGATGATGATGATGATGATGATGATGATGATGATGGTGATGATGGTGATGATGGTGATGATGATGATGATGGTGATGATGATGATGATGGTGATGATCATGATCATGATGAAGATGACCGTGTTGGGGGTAGTGATGATGATGGTGGTACTGGTCATGGTGTTGGGGGTAATTGTGGTGATGGTGGGGGTGGCGATGGGGATTGATGACAGTAGAGCTGGTGGAGTACTTCACACATGGTCTGCTCACTAGAGTAAAGGAACAGATCAAGGAACCTGGTGGTGTGTGGAGAAAGACCGGCTAGGTGTGGAGAAAATCAGCCTCTCTGAGCCGCACTTTCCTCCTCACTTGGGAGAGGGAAGGCTGGACAAGAATTATCTCAAATCTGCCCCACTGTCCTCTATTATGTTCCATAGACTTGGGTTTAATAAATATTTACTCATTGTTCTGGAAAAACTGGATGTAAAATCAGCAACTGCCTTAGGCATCAACTGCCATGAGACCAAAGAAAAAGATCCAGGATTACAGAGTCTAATCTTTATTGGGGACCTAGGGACAGAAGCCTGGTCAAGCGCAGTGGCAAGACCAGTGCATTCCACAACATGGGTCAGAGGGAGACGCTTGCACAGTAGTCAGGACAGAAGCGACTTCATCCAAGCCTGAGTGCACCTGGTTTTACCTCAAGCAAACAGCAGAGATTTTTTTTTTTTAGAGCTGTAATAAACAAATTCCTTTTATAAACAAAATTTTAACTGAAAAGCCACAGTAGATGGAAAAGAAGAAAGGATATTACTTGGTAAAATCCAGTGACATCTACAATAGTTTTACAACACATTTAAGCATTCTAGGGTTTTATATCTTCACCTGCCTTCCATTTCTTAGTTGCTCCTTATAAAATTGACAGTTGTGAATATAGGTTTAACCTCAATTCTAATCCTGAATTTGAGTTCCAGAAAAAGCAAAACACTCCAAATTTCTTTCAATATTATAGCCTTAATTTTTTAAAAAAGGTTTTAGAAGACAATGCCCAACTAAATGGGAGAAAAAGCAGCAATATGTAATTATATATACTATTCACAGTATGGAAGTGTTTTTTGGTATGATATCTAGAATGCACTTGCTCTGTCCATCTCCTCAATATAAAATGGCTTATACCAACGCTACCAAAAGTAAGAGCACTACATAAGGGGCACACAATTACAGTTCTGCTAGTCTTAAAGGAAGTAAAGAGAAAGAAAATATATCAAATAGTACATGCACATCTTACATAATTTCCATGGAATTTCCAATGGCTTCTCTGCAATGTGCCTCTTTTCCATAACCATATTACCAACTACCAAGAAAGGAAAGGTGAGTTTAAAAGTAATGGTACTGAACTGAAGTTTTCAAAGCCCGTGCCCCACAAATGGGGAAAAGTGCATTTAGTTCAGCAGCAATACAGCACAGCGTGAAGATAGTGTGCTTAGATACAGATATTCCAGACTGAAAGATGTGCAAGGCAAGTCAAGATAGAAAACCATAGTACACGGCTAAGTAACCTCCAAATGTACATATATTGCAGACAAACAACAGAGATTTCATGCACATTCTGGCACTGATATTGATCTGAGAGTAAAGTCCCACACGCCATGCTAATAGCTGTGTATCTCTGTACTAAGCTGGAAAACTGTGCAGGGAAAAGAGTCAAGGGTTACTCAGGAAGGATCATATTAGTTACGTGTCAAGATAGGTGTGGTCAGGTCAAGATGGATCCCCACAGTGACACATTGAGGCGTTGTTGTCCTTACTGACTGCTTCACCTGTGAACCATTGCCTAATTTCCCTTCCTTGGGAACCTTCTCCCAGGGTCTCAGTGAGCATTCTTGCTCCCTCAGTTGGCTCTCCAGCTGCTGCCACAGGTGCACAGTGGCAGGACTTGAAGGAACCACGCTCACTTGGCTCGGCTCTGTGGAATTGAGACCAAAGGTGAGCAGGCTGCTACTCAGGCTTTCTGCAGCACACTCTGTAGTCTGTCCTCTCATGGCTGCTGGCAGGACCAGGGGGTCCCCAGCCTCCACCAATGTTGTTTCCGCCCTCACTACCTGCTTCTTCCTGCCTGTATTGGGAGAGAAGGGATACGAAAAGACTTGAGAGAGGTTTCGGGCCTTCCTAAGGGGAGAAACAGAGAAAGAGAACTAAAGGTAACCCAGACCTTAAACTGGCCATTCTCAGCGTGAGCCCATGTATTTCAGAGACAGAGACAGGGACAGAGAGACAGACATAAATGTGTCCAAAGGCCTTACCTCCTGGCTCTCCTGTCTGCCTTTGAAACATGTATTTTCTGGTGGAATAGGGACCAGCAGTGCTTTCCAGGTTCTCATTGCCCTATTTAAGGAATTGGATGGAACATTTGGTAACTGTGAAAGATTGCCATTAATTTAGGGCAAAAGGAAGAAGAAAAATGAGAAAGAAAAGTATGAAAAAAGTGCTCAAAGAGAAAAGTGCCCTTTGAATGAAAAAGAGAAAATTTCATATTCATACCCAGCCCGTGCAGCTTAATGAGCACTTGCCTTAAAATAAAAAGTAAAAAATAAAGCCAGGGGAAGGGGTGCAGGCATATAATACCTCTCTGTGAGGCTGAAGCAAGATTTCAAGTTTGGGGGGCCAGGGATTTGGCTCAGTGGTGCTGCTGCCTGCCTCACAAGTGCAAGGCCCTGAGTTTAATCCCCATTGCCCAAAAAAAAGTAATTTCTGTTTTTTTTCTTAATTTCTGAGTGCTCATTTATTTGTAAATTAACTTGGTACCATGTAAACAGTTTACAAACCTAAATACACATATAGAAATGACATGTAATATGCATGTGCACACAAACATGCATACATACATATATACAAAGATTGTGTGGTTTTATACTTTCTCTCTTTTTTTAAATTTTTAAAGAGTACTATTTTAGTAGTATTGTGGTAAGCAGAATCCTCAAATGGATCCCAAGATTTCCAAACCACATTCTGGAACTGTGGTTGCCCAGGATTGTGAACATGATGAATTTAATTCTCATGATTATGTCATGTTGAATGGCAGAGTTGAATTTAAGGTAGGGAGATTATCTGGGTGGGCATGACCTAGTCTTTAGAAAAGTAGAGTTTTCTCTGGCTGATCCAAAAAGAGGAAGTTTCAGTACTGTGTTCCAGCTAGCCTGGATGAAGGCAAGTATCTAGTGTGTGAAGTGACAATGGTGGCCACAGGAAAAGGACCTCAAAGCAGCCTCTAGTTGCTGAGAGCCACTCCTGGCTGATAGCCAACAAACTGAGATCTCGGTAACTGCGAAGAACTGAATTCTATGAACTATTCCACTAAACTTGGAAATGGAGTTTTCCCCCTGCCAAACTCTAAATCTCAGTCCAGCTGACAGGTTGGTTTCAGCCTTGTGATACCTGGAGCAGAGAACCCATCCACACTGTACCAGACTTCTGCACAGTTAGTAGGGTAGAGAATGAAAGAGAAAGTCAGATTTCTTTTGTAAAGCCCTCTCTCTTTGAAAATGATCATGATGTAGGAAAAATATAACTCCCAACCTGTTAGATGTCAAAGGTGTTGAGTTGATGGTCTCACAACATCAAGGAATGAAGACGTGAACCAAAGGAGTAAGGTTGGAGGATTTTACTGGAAATAAGGGGAAGAAGACCAGCTCATGGATTTCCAGGAGGGGTCCTGAGAGGGTGGCCACCCAGGCTCATTGTTGGGAGAAATGTATACAGCAAAATCACAATGTGGGTCCCATGTGCACAGACTACAATCAACCTGTAGGAATACCAGTGTAGCCGCTTAATTAACATTGATCCGAAAGGGAAAAGAGTCCTGCTGGTCACCCACCTATGTGTGATGTCTACTGAACCAGCTGGTGCTAATTACACTGTAATCCCAAATTGCTGTTTATCTTGCAGGCCTGGCTATTGCATCTCCATCCTGAGGCCTAGCTCTCCTTAGATTTGCCTCCAGCCACAATTCTGAGAGCTCCATATTTTGTACTGACTTCCTTGGGGGCCCAGTTCTCTTCTGCATGTATATTAATTTCTATCTAACTTAGTGGCCTTTAATAAGAACAATGAAATTATATTGTGAAACCAGCATAAACGTTTGTGTCCCCCTAAATTCATGTGTGGAAACCTAATCCCCAATTTGAAAGTATTAAGGCTTTGGGGTGAGACTGGCCCTTCATAAAAAAAGACCCCCCAGAGCTGCCTTGCCCTCCTACCAGTTGAGAACACAGCAAAAAGATGCTACTGTATGAACCAGAAGTGGGCCCTCCCCTATATCAAATGTCCAATACCGTGATCTTGGACTTTTCAGTCACCACAACAGTGAGAAACAGGTGTTTATTGCTTATAACTCACCCAGTTTATGCCATTTTACTACAGCAGCCAAGCAAAAGTGAAACATAGGGCCTTCCAATGATTTATGACAAAAGAAAAATAGGAATAAATAGTCATATGGCTCTGACTCATGTTTGAGTCATATTCAGTAGCAAGCATAGCACAGTCCTCAGTTCATCATTGTCATGAATTAAATGTTTTTTCTAGTAACTGGCACGTAAGTCATTTCTAAGCATATATCCAGCTATGTAAAAAACCTAGAAGCCCCTGGTAAACATTTCTTTACCTGTCTGGTTTACCCTGTCTGGCTTTGTGGTTTCATTTGTTTCATGGGAGAGAGCAAGTTTCTCATTATTGTCAAGGAAATTGCTGCTCCCATCCTCCCATCCCATGTTCTTGGGATTTTTCTTTTAAAGCCCACCTCTTCCCTTTTACAATTTTTTCTTGGCATGAAGACAAATTTGGTTGTAACTTAAATTTAATAGCCCCTAGTTAAAATATAACAAACACACAATCTTGGCTCTCTTTGACTGAGAAATCACACTCATTCATCCACTCAGCAAATATCTATTGAGTTCCAGCCATTTACATTAAGCTCTAGGGATACAAAAGAACAACATGACCCCTATCCTAGGAACTTACAGGAGGTGGAGAAAGCTATTAACCAAGAAATGCAATGCAGCAAGTCAAGTGCTGTGAGGGGCAGGAACAGGAAGTTAGGGGAACATTTGAGTGGAAAGAGCATCTAACCTGGTTTGGAGGATCAGGAATGTCATTCAAGAGAAGGGGTATTACTTTCTCACTGGTGTGCTCCCATAACAAATTACCAAAACATGAGTGGTTTAATACAACATAAATTTATTATCTTGTAATTATGGATATTGAAAGCCCAAAATCCAGGTGTCACAGGGTTGCATCTTTTGTGGATGCTTTATATCTCGTGGTGTTTTTTTTTTTCTGTACCGGGGATCGAACTTGGGACCTTGCACTTGCGAGGCAGGCGGCAGAACCACTGAGCTAAATTTCAGGCCCTGTGGATGCTTTATGAAACAATGTATTCCTTGCTATTTCCAATTTATAGAGGCAACCTACGTTCTTCACGATCCCTTTCAGCAGTAGCTTCTTTGACCTCTCTACTTCCACCATCACAGTTTCTCTTTTCCTCCCACCTTGCTCTTGTAAGGGTCTTTACAATTACACTGGGCCTACCCAAATAATACAGGAGAAATTCCTCATCTCAAATTCTTAACCTAATCACATTTCCAAAGGCCCCTGTAGTGTGTAAGGTAACAGGATCCTGGGACTGGGGTATAGACAGGGGATGGGCTATGCTATTCAGCCTACTTCAGGAACCACTGAAGGAGTCTGTAGAGTCTTCCAGGAAGTAGAAAAGTGGAAAAGCCTAAATGACACCTAAAGGAAGTTGTTGAACAGTATAGCTCAATGTTTTGGCTATAAAGTAATA